GCTGTCGCGGGGGGTTTGCTTTGGTGGGCGGGCAGTCAGTGGGTCTGCTGCTGCGGCGTCTCTCTGCGGTTTCTCTATGTACCTGTTTGCTAATATCCATATTAACACAGCGCATGCTTATACGTGGCTTACTAGTGGACGATTCTTTGCTTTGGGCGAAAACAGTTGTAGTAGAGGGGGGATGTGCAGGTGCAGCTTACACCTCTCCGGTTCCTGGTGCACCCTCCTGGTCGGACTGCTGTGTGTAGCCTTGGAATTATCCTGAGCTTTGCCTCTTTCACGTGCATGTGGCAGTAGTTGTGGTTTTGGTGTAACACCACCTATTTTGCATCTATGGCTTTTTTTTGTCTTTGCCGTTCTGAAAAGAGGCTTCTAGTTTTTTAATGAACCAAATAATGGTGACTAACAGTCCCTATCGTTCCCTTGTGTTCCCTTGCTAGGGGAAGAATCTGAGTGGAAAGTATTAATTAGTACGTTTTCTTCCAGAGTCTCTAATTCTGATGTGTTTCCATTCTTCCAGAGGCTGTAGTTAGTGCTCTCTGCATTGTTAATATACAACAGTATCACATGAAGCAAGGTGGTTCTTAAAAAATGTGCTGATGCTAGTTATTGATTAAATGTGTACCTTGTCTTCTGTGTTGAAGCGTTGCATTTAAGATGATTGTGTAATGTCGTTGTGTAAAGCCTATATTTGTGTCATGTTTGTGTTACAGGCCAATGCAAATCAAAAAGCCTTAAATATTTAGTTGTATTGAGTGGTGAAAGAAGATACTTCTGTCCAGACAACTAAGTTCTTAACTACTTGCATGTAGTTAATTACAAAATTGCCATGCAAATTCAGAATAGAAGAGAATACTGTTGTTTTTCCTTCTCTGACTCCATACCCCCAAAAATAGATGTACACCTAAAGTTTGGTTCACCAATGATTGCCTTCAACACTAACATCTGGACTTAATGCCTCTCTGTGCAAATCCAGAGCCATCAGTTTGTGTTTAATGGCTGTTTTGCACCAGGAGGTGCTGGTCTGTTACAATCCTGATAAGAAGTGCACTCAGACTCTGAAAAGTATCATCTCAAATGCTCTTTTTTAGAGCTAACCCTCAGAAGAAGGAAGATGCTATTGATAATCTTGCATTCCTTCATCTGCTGAGAACCCCGAGTTGTGCAGCACTGAACAGGCCTCCTTCCATTCGCTTGCTGTGTGTTGGGCAGACTATGTCCATAGAAATGTTTACCCTGTTTTCAGTCTTTTGACCTATTAGGGATTCTTTTAAGGGAAAACAACTCTATTCATCAATTTTACTGTCCAGCAGAAGGGGTGCTTGCATGAGAACTTCCTGCCTTTTTAGATAAAGGCTAAAAGACATAGGTGGTGTCATCACAGGTACCAAGTGGGAGCTGCCTGCAGACTCCTGTCACAACCAGCTCCTGAGCTTATCCTACAGCCCAGGCCTGAAAGCCATGCTGTACATGAAGCACAGCACAAGACAACTGAACAGAGTTCACTCACGTTAACTCTTATGTGAATCACCAGCACCGTGGTGTACTGTGGCCTTCAGGTCAGCGTCATTCCAACTACTCTGTTGTATCTCTATAAAACAAGTGTGCTCTCTGGTATCTGCTGTAAATCTACACAAGTATGTCTCAAAAAGATAAGCAAGCAATTGCAAACATAAATTTTCTATGTGAACACATCTATCAGCAGGGACTTAATTTTATTTGAGGAAGATGATAACGTGGAGAAGACAGTTATTTTGGGATAGTACTCTGTGTGAATGTTCTGCTTTGAAAACATCCATTCCTTCTACATAGTCAGCTGTTCAGCCAATATTGCATGCTTCTGCTTTTGGTTTTGCTCATTTTTTAAAAAAAAAAAAAATTAGTAAGTTTGGACACAGCTGGACTTGGGCAGCAACTTCCTCAGTTTCTGCTGAAATCAGGTAGCCAGCTTGGGAGCACATCCTGAGTGCAAATTCTTTTTAACAGTTTGACCAGAACTGTAGTTTGTGAAGATATTGGGGCACACTGTAAAACCTTCCTTCTTGATAAAAAACTGCCACTGTGACCAGATTGCTGTTTACAGCCGCTATAAAGCAAGCAAGAGGTAATGGAAGATCCTGCTGGAAGTTTGCTTGTTACATAGATGTATAAGGACCTATGGCATTTTAGCTTACTTTGCACACAGCTATTTCTGGTTCTGTGTCAGCTTGATTAAAAAAAATATATACATGCACCAGTTTTATGTGATTTGTGTACTGAGGTGTTATTTCCTAGTGTCTACCTTTGAAAATGTCTCCATTTTGTCTTGTCTGCTAGCCTTGACTTTGCATCAGAGAGGATGATTTTAGTGTTTATTTATTTATTTATTTATTTTAAAAAAGTAGTCTTCTCCTTTAGTGGCATTTACCACTAGACAGTTAATGAAAAATTATGCTTGTTGCTGAGGAAGCCAAAATGTTTCTGTCTAGCATCCAAAAGAAAACCAGTCTTGATGAGTTGTAGTTCAGTTCTCAGTTGTTGAAAATTTGGATTCAAGGGTGACAAAACATATATGTGGCATAAAAATATGGGATTGATCCTCCAGCAGTTGTGTTCTTTAGAGCATTTTTTAAAAATCTTTTGTTTTTCTGGGCTATGCCTTTACCACTCACTCAGAATCAAACCCCTGCCTGTATCAGGTCTTCAAACCTTAACGTGCAAAACTTGTTTTTCCCAAACTGCAGCAGTAGTTAGAGCCAGGTTCCCGAGTCAGCTGGTAGTGGCTTGGTAAAAGAGAGACAGTGCAGAAGTCCAATGGAATGACTGTACTCTAAGGGCAGACAGACATCTCTTGCATCCTTCTCCCTCATCAATGCTTACTGCTGATTATCAAAAAGAAAAAGAAGTTTCACCTGTGCTTCCTTATTAATTGTATATTGTTGCAGAGTGCTGCTTTTTGTATTTCTCAGCTCTGAGAAATCTTAAACCTGTGCATTGTAAAGGAGAAAAGAAGGAAGAGAAAAATACTTTTTTTACTCTCCAGGGTAGCTATTCATCTCCTTTGTACCAGTAAAAGCTGTAAGGAACCAACTTCTTCCTTAGTCTAGCATCAGGAGGACCTCTGTGGTTGTTTTATTTTTCTCATAGAAAAGGTAAATTTTTGCAACTTACAGGATTGCTACAAAACTCTTTGTTCTTGTTCCCTAGGCAAAAATGTCTGCAGCACGTGGCTTCGTTGCACTCCACACCGGGCAGAAGATGCCTCTCATAGGACTAGGAACTTGGAAAAGTGAACCTGGCAAAGTAAGCAGAGAACAATACAATATTATCCTCTCAATTAGTATTTGTGTTTTGTGCATCTTTCTTGAAGATCATAAATCTGAGGCCTGGATCCTTTGCTTGAATGGTTTTAGTCTTAGGCCCACTGAAGTCAGGTGAATGTATGGTTGTATTTGCATGACTAAAGCCTTAAGGCACAAAAGCAGCAGCAGAAGATCCCCTAAGACTTGTTAACGCTGGCCTCAGGCAGTGGTGCTCTGGGAGGTGAATCCAAAAGGAGACCAGCCGGTGAGGAGAGACAGGGAAAATGCTGCAGCTCTAACATGGTGCCTGACTCTTGCCCGGGTAAATCCTCAGGCTGCCAGTTTGGCCAGACATCCCTTTGGCTTGGGCTGATGACTCTGCTGAAGACATTACTTTGGGAGGCAAGAACTCTGATTGCTCTTGTCCTAAGTCCTGTTCCAGCAGTCAGCCAATGTTAGCAGAAAAACAACTAACTTGCTTTGGTTGTCCTGCTTTTAGAGTGAGACAACTAATGTGTCGTTAGACATTCACACTGCTTCTAAATGCAATGACTTCGCAAACACCACCCTTGGAAACAATTCAGTGTGTTACTACAAACTGTCTGTGGGAATGTTTGCATGCTATGGACTGTGCCTTCTTTTGTAATATTTCTCCCCTTGTCTGTCTTTTCCTTTCTGTTTCATTTAGTTGAAAGATAAATTCTTAGGGGAAGAGATTGCACATACTACTTGTGAAAGGCTTGGGGGAATTCTGAGCTGGTATTGTTGTTTATAACGCCTTTTGGATTATGTGCACTACTGCATGTCTGTGCAGTAAATGTTCTATATCTTGCTGTTAGTCTTGTAATGGTTTTTGGAGTATGTCAGATGCCATTGTGCTTAAAGGGTAAAGTTAAAACCTTTCTCAAGAGGTTGTGCTATTCTCTTGTGCCAGCTAGAAGAAAAGGTGGAAAATGAGCTATAAAAATTACATCTATGTAGAGCCATTTTATTGTTGGTGTTCCTGTCCAAGCAACTGTCAGGACAGTGGATCTGTTGGAATAGTGGCTGTGCTGATGGGGAAGCTGAGTTGGTGTGAGCGCTCAGTCAAATGAGAGCAAGGGTGAGTGTTCAGCTCTGTCACTTAAAACATCAACTGACAGCTGAATTACATTTATTAACATGCAGGAACTTAATGGATGAATTTTTGTGCACCCAGAGCAGTTAAATGTGCATTCTCTAAAACAAATGTCTGAAACTAAACAAACAAAATATGAATGTATTGTTTATTTTGTGCACAAACTGTTCCAAGGAGAATGCAGTCTTATAAAAGAACCAGGAAAAATCCTGCTTGTGCATAATTTAAACCTAATTCAGATGGATTTTGCCATAGTAATCAGAGCCTCTAGCAGCTGAACCCCACACAGGATCCAGCTATCTTTTCTGGGGTCCCATGGAGGTAACTTGGAGTCACTTCTTCGAAGCATCTGCTGTTTTCAAAGACTTATTCCTGCAGTGAGTTGAAGGTAAAATCTAGGAAGTGCAGTGAAAATGGCCAGAGTTGCAGAATGTGCTGGTACTCCTATGGAATAAATAAATTCCTGTTTACCACTGTTGAAAATTCAGCAGCATAGCAGCAATTTGGCACAGTGTTCAAATTATTTATTCTTAAAAGGACACAGTGCAGTTTGGGGAGAATAACTGTAATTATGAATTAAAGACTGAGGGCCAAAAACCTAGAGAAACAGAATTATCCTTGATTATATTTAATCTAGCTCTTTCCAAGTAGAGGCTATTTATCAAAAGCTCTGTTGTGCAAAGGCTGCATTAGAAGCAAGAGTGGAGGTGGATGACTTTTAAAATTATTTCAGGTAAATATTTTGCAGATTGTAATTTTTCTCCTTGCCAAGGTGCTTTTTCAGTTTTGACCTTACTCTCTTGAGAAATTTCTTTATTATTGCTGATCCTAAACAATTATTGATTTTGTAGCTGGATCTTAGGATTTTATAGGATTTAAATCCTGTAAAATAATAGAATGTTTTCAATTTTACATGATCAAGTGCTAGAAGAGAAATTTCTTTTACATGTTACCATAGGAACACGGTGGAGGACTATTGAATGGAAGGGAACACAGTAGAGAAGCTTTTGAACTGGCAGTATGAATGAGTTCAAAGAGAAGTCCATTCAGACAAAAGCATCAAGAATATCAGTAGGGTGTGGGTTTTTTTTTAATATTAGAGCTTGATTACCAGTAATACTTAAATTCTTTGTTCTTATCTCTCAAGTGGGCTGTACTGTCATAGAATCATAGACTGTCTGGGCTGCAAGGGACCTCCAAAGGTCATCTGGTCTGATCCCCACCTGATGAACAGTCTAACCTGCTGTGGCAGAGGCTGGTTCTGTGTGGAAGAGAGACAGAGGGCTTAGGGAAGTTGTATTTCTGTGAAAACCTTCAAAAAATGTGTGCCTCGGGAAACCAGTCAGACTGTTTTGTGACAGGATTGCAGCTGTGGTGGGGAGACTTTAGTTCTTGGGAAAGCTTGTTAGACAATAGAGACAATCCTGGTTATGTGCACAAAAATTCACTACTGCTGGTATATATTAAGGGAGGGACTTGAATTCAACATCTGAAAGATAAGAGGCAAAACCCTTCATTTTAGGGAACATCGACTCTTAAGTTGGTGTTGCTTATGTGGTGGTCTGAGTTCCTTTTCAACAAATTTTAGGACCGTATGTACAACCTATGATATAGCAACACTTATGTTCTGGTCATACTGCATCTGAGTACCGGGAGGACTGATCTCTCTTTTGCCTATTTCCCATCAGCAAATGTATTCGGACTGCTAAAATGGGAGCCTTTTCTTTCCAAGTATTATTGACTGGAGCTGTTAGAGTGAAAGCCTCTTCATAATAGCTTGGGACTGTGCAGAAGAGGCTCCTTGGTCACTTGAACTGTCCTTCTTGGAAGTATGAAGGTGGCTTGTGAGTTTTTCACCTTGTGATGGGCAAATTGAAGAACTGGAAATCCAGTAACGGTTATTATAATGAATTGGGACCTACAGATTAGGTTTCTGAACCTGCCACTGATTGTTAGTGTTCCTTCATCTTCAAAAACAAAAGAGGGTGGGTGGGAAAGCCAAGTCCCTTGCTAGGATGTATAAATGGGAGTGTAGTTTCCTAGGATTTTGCTATACATTGAAGGAGAGCAAGGATTCAGCTACAGTACTGTGTCTGTTTTGGGACAAACCCCTTCAAGAAAAGCATAAACCAGCTGATGAGACAGCAGCAACAGCAAAGCAAGGTTTAGGAAAGGTGAGGTGTGATGAAAGATGGAAGCACCAACAGTTACATGGTCAAGAGAAGTTTGTGAGGAAGTGTGCTGGTGCTTTCCAAATGGGCAAAAAGCCCTCACAAAGGGGAAGCTACGGAATTCATGTCTGTGAGGAACAGGATATGGTACCAGGGCTGTTGTGGTTAGATATCTAAAGGCTTTGAACGCAAAGCATTGGAGTAGACTGCCCGTCACAGGAAAGGTTTTGACAAATGTATGTAGGTAGTTTAGACTTGCTTGGCCCTGCTGTAGGGCATGAAGATAGACTAGATGATGTCTCAAGATCCTTTCGGACCAACTTTCTATAGTTACATGATGCTGTGTTGGTGAATCTTGCCTAACCTGTGTAACTCAACTTGCCTAGTGCAAAATGAACTCGGTAATTGCTCCTTCCATAGCAGTATTGACAGGCTAAACTAAAGAACACATGGAAAGTTTGAAGGATCCTTTGGCTATTTTTTATTTCACAACAGCAAGTGGCCACAGGTATGTGAAATCTCCAGTTGCTTCTATCTACTTTTTTGTGGTTTTGATGTCTTAGATAACCTCAAAAATACAAAACTTTGTTAAACAGAGTACTCGTCTTAAATTTACATCTATCTGTTATTAGTTGGTGTTTTTTTTTTCCCCCCTCTAAAAATGCTTTTTGCACATTTTCTCTTGATTGTTTGCCATTTGTGTGGAACAGGAACTCTCAGTTCATGCTGGGGTGTCTTAGTAGGCTGAGAGGAGTTTATGAGAATACAGATTTTGCACAAATCCAGACTTAATTTAAATCACCAGTTCCAGTTTCTCAGTGCTAGAAATTTATGAAAATATGGGCTCCTGTTCATTGCTTTGCAGTGATGTTTGTTGTGCCTTATCCCTAGTTTTCTATGAGTTGTGCCTACTTTAATTTTATGGGAAATTTTCTGCCTGTTTGGATTTTAAAAAATAATCATCCTGACAGAAAAAATGTGGGATTAGTACAGACAAAGAACACCACTGTTTCATTTCCTTTGTGCTTCCCCTCCACAACTCTCACCTTTTTGGAGAGTAGATATGGAGTCTTAAAAGCCTTTAATATGTCTCAAGTGCTTTCAGAATAATCATGACTTTGACTTTGTAGTGACCTTCTGAGGAATGTCTTTGTCAAAAGTGAAACAAGGACTGTAAATACTGTCCTGCTAGAGAAAGGAAGAGCTTGCCTCATTGCTGTAAGAGAAGTGCTTTGTCATTCTAGCTAAGGGAAACTGATCTACATTCCAGTTTTCTTCTCAAAATGCTAAAGAATGCAGTCAGAATATCCTGTGTCTGCCTTTACTGCAGTTCTTGACAAGAAAACCAAATGAAATCCACCAGTAGAAGATAAATCTTTTTCACATTTGATTCCCCCTTGTCTTTCTGTAGCATCTAAAAGCAGGACTGCACGTCTTATTTGTGTTAATAACTTTGGTTAGCTTTAAAATTGAAAATGCTGGTACTTAGATTAAGTTGAAAGAAATCTCTCTCTAGCCTTCGTGGATGCATTTTTTTATCTCTTGACAAGAGAGATGTAATATCTCTAAATACATTAGGGCCTTATTACATCAAGCCTTATACACAGAGTAATTTACAATTTCCTACAGTCTTGAGAGACAAGTCAGCAAAAAGTGATGTATAAAAAACCTGTACTAATAGGATATACTCTTACTGTAGCACTCCAGATGGATAGATGTAAAAGAGTGTGTGTACTTACTGTCCACTGAAAGTTAAATGAAATGGATTTTAATTAATGGTCATCAACCTAAAGGGAGATGGTGACAACACTGAGGTCTGTAGTAATTCTTGGTTCTTGCAAGGGACCCGTTGCTGTTGACAACACCTGCATTGTCAGCAGTGTGGAAAGCAAAGTTTGGAGCATCATAAGGAGATTCCCTGCAGGTCATGAGTTAATACTCAGTGGTATAGTGACTTCCATTGTTGTACAATCAGTGGGAATGAGAGGAAGAAAAAATGTGCCACAATATAGCATTATCTTAGAAATTAAGTTTTAGCAGTTAAGCAAAACATGAGTTCTTGAATACTTGGCCTGTGTCCATTTTCTTGTTCTCTTGGAGCATCTGCTAGCAATGAGCTCTTCACTCTAAGGGGAGCACTGTAGGGCATCCTATCCTGTTTGGCTTGAGCCTTGTGATTTTATGTAGGTGTGTACTTTTGAGATGTTCCTCACCAAGTCCCTAATATTTTTAATTCTTTTTTTTTTCCCCTGTGATGTGTCCCTTTTCACTGATTGCATTGGGTAACCTGTTTCTTATTGCAGGTGAAGGAAGCAGTGAAGTGTGCTCTCAGTGTGGGCTATGCCCACATTGACTGTGCAGCAGCTTACAGCAATGAAGCCGAGATTGGTGCGGCGTTCCTTTTCTTGGGCCCAACAAGGTAAAAACTCAAGAATCGCCATGGTGGTGGTGTGTTGTATCAAAATTTACAGCTGTGACCTGGAAGCAGACTGTAAAATCAACATTTGTGGCTCTTCCTCCTGGTCTATTCCAGCTATTTGTTACTAATTGGGAGTGGGCATGAAAGAAGGCTCTGTCTCCTGGCTATCAGGAGGAGAAAAGATTGTCAGCAATGTTTTCATGGAAGCTACAGAAAATTCCTTTTAAAAAAAATTCCCTGCCTGCCCCTTTCTCCCTTGCAAAGTAACCCAGTTTGAGTGTTCAAAAATTGGAGGTTCCCAGAATCTGTAGTTACAGTTTAAAATATTTGCCATTATTGGAAAAGTTGCTGTAGTTTACCAGGCAGGAATAGAATGCAATGGTGTGTAGCCACAGTAAATTCAGTGACTGTGGGTCTTTTGGTTATAGACAAAATATGGGTAAATAAGCAGGTACTTTTATTGGGGGGGTGGAGGGTGGTGTTTTTGTTTTTTTTAAACTGCACTTGAAGGTTTGCTAACTGTGCCTCTAGGGCCTGCACCTGATAGTCCATGGCCTCGATATAATGTAATGTGACAGGCATTCCTATGGTGGATGACCTGTGGTGGAATCTTAACTTCACCCCCTTGCTCTTTTTGGCCTGAGGGGTCAGCAGGATTGCCTGTGCAGCCTCAGAGCCCGTGGAAAGAGTTCCTGCACTCCAGCTGCTCTCCCCGTGGCTTCAGGGCAATCTCTTTGTTATGTGATTAGCTTGAGAGGCTGTTTTCAACTTGCCCCAAGGATTCCTTCCTACTAGATACAGTAACTAATACAGAGGAGCCCGGGACTCTCTTAGTTCCTGTTAGCTAGCTAACTTAAAACTAGAATTTTTAAAACATCTGTCTCTTTTTGAACACAACAGCCATATGTGAAACAGAAATAACTGAATGGTTGGAGGAGAGAAGCTAAGGAATTAATCATCCCAGCTTCTACAACGTGTAGAATTGCGTGAAATTTGGACACACGTAAGACAGCGAGAAGTGCCCTCTGATGGTGTTCTGTGCTTCAGCTTGCCAAATACGATCTCCCTTCTACATTTTATGCTTCCTATCTAACCAGCTCTCTATTTAAGTTCTGGGTCTTACCCTTCCAATACAGGGTACAGGACACTTAGTTCTTAGAGCGTTACTTCCAGAACCTAGAAACTCAAGGTTTGGAGAAACTTTCTGTTTATTTTCCCACGCTCTTTCCATGAGAAGCATTCTTGGTTTATAAAGTGATGAGTAGAGTGAGTTAGCAGTTGTGCTTAGAATATATGAATCATTAAATAGAAGTTACAAAATTTACTTATGAATAAACTGAGTAATCTTTCTTTTGGGCACACCATACTTAGTGGCTTTAACTCTTGAACTGGAAAGTTTGTGAAAGTTTGTGGAGAGGTTTGTTTTGTTTTTCAGAACTTCCAATAAATTGCTACATATTTGGTATAACTTAAGACCTGCCAATGTGTGTATATATCACTCTTCTCCATCCAGTATATTTCTGAAAGGTTTAATTTGTAGGTTACATATGTTACCTTTTTTTTTTTTAAAAAAAAAAAAGTACATAAATTGTTCTCTTTGTTTTAAAGCTAGTTGGGGAATTGATGCAGTTCCTTGTGAACTTGTTCCAGTAATTTAATGTCTCTTCCCTTTCTTAAAGGTTATTAAAAGGGAGAACCTGTTTGTAACATCAAAGCTCTGGAATACCAAACACCATCCGGAAGACGTAGAGCCAGCACTAAGAAAAACACTCGGAGATTTGAAACTGGATTACCTGGACTTGTACCTCATGCACTGGCCTCATGCCTTTGAGTAAGTTCTACATGAAAAGGGCACAGAATGCAGAAACCCCAGTTTTACATAAGTGGCTGGTGTTATAGCCTGAGGACTTTCTTTCTCAGCTCTGAGTTTCTTCCTTTGTATACTACCTGCAGGATGTTTTTCAGTGTGGCTAACAGTGTAGGCCTATGAACAGTCATATAGAGATTCTATTCTACACTTAACCTTTATATTACTCATAGTTGGTCCATTCATTCACAGAAACAATTGTTCAAATTTCATTCTTTGAATTTCAGTTGGGTAGGAATTTGTTTACTGTTAAGATTTGTAGCAGGTCTGTAAATAAACAGTAGAGACGACAAAACTTCTGGGCTTGTGTAGAAGTATTGTAAATAGAAAAAGGATAATTGTTCTCATTATTTAGCAATGATGAGGATGGAAAAATTAGTATTAAGTCTTCATTTAAAACCCTCAAGCAATTACTAGTTTTTTTTAATAGTGAGAAGAGCTAGGTAATGAAATTAGGATCAATAATTCTGAGTTTGGCATGGGTGCCAAAGCTAGATAACTGAACGTAGTCTAACTGGTAGAAAGTAAATAAAGCTTTATGGGACAGGTTTCTATACTAAAACCTACTGTCTTACACTAGCTGAAAGTTTGGCTTGCTGTGAGGTAAAATCTTTGTTGGGTTAAAAATATATTAGAAGCTTAAAGTAGTCTAGTGTCTTTGTCTAGGCACTGGGGAGGTGTGGCAGCTATTCTTGGTTCTGCCGCTGACCTACATGGTAACCCTGAGGAAATCCTGTCACTGCTTTGTGCTTTAGTTTTACTTACCTGTAAAAGAAGAATGAAGTGTTACGTAAAGACAGTTCACTAACAGTTACTAACTGCACTGGAGTGGCCAAGCCCATGCAATGTCATGGTGATATCTGTGAGGAGAAAATGAAAATCACTTCTTATGGCACTTTAGTTCTATGATTTGAGGAAGTATGAAACAAGAAAGTTCTGTTCTCCAGATAAGTGCTAAATGCACTTATCCTACAAGCCCATCAGAAGCAGTGTTCCTTGCTCTGTTTCCCTGTACGTGGAAGCAGTGTTATCATCATCCCCTTGGCCCCCAGAAGCAGTAAAAAGACAGGGGGAGAATAGATCTCCTGACCAGGTGTTTGCATGGAGACTTCACTCAACAGGGGAAACACTGTCAGTTTAAGGGACTTCTGTCTGTTCTACAAGCCTTAGAATATTTTTTCCCCTTATAGTCGTCTGAACTAAATTTTACAAAGCGTGTAAAAGTAACAGGAAAGAAGCTCAAAGTACAAATATATTCCTCAGCATAACAGAATGAGGAAGTGATTTCAACTGGAGCTGGTTTGGAGGAAGAACTGTCAAAAATTCCCCCTGTTGTGAAACAGGTTTGTTTTCCAGTTGATTGGGGAAAAAAAAAAAAAAAATTAAACATTGCTTTGATAGTAACACATAATATGAATAATGATGTATATTTAGATATTGCTAATATTTAAATGTGCTTGATGTTGTGGGAACTATTGACAAAACTGACATTCTAATAAAGCAGATTTGTTTCCTCGTTGGAAATTGTTCACTCTACAGTTTTCTGTTACATCTACTTCAACTATTTTAATGCATGGTTATCTATAATGTCTGTTGTATTGGGAAACTGAGCAAACAAATGTTCTTTACACAGAAATTAAAACAGACTTGTGGGTGAAAATCACAGTGCTTCTAGGTCTTGAGACTTCACCTCTAAATATACTACTCTTGACATATGAGGCTGCTTTTATGAATTGAAAGCTCATAAGGCTTTCAGAGTTATTTTTGGTTCTAGATTTATCAATGACATGAACAAGAACCATCTCCTCTTGTCCTCAGCTGCTGCCATTTCTCACATGGTTCACTGCTTAGCTAGAGCAATGTTAGACAGTCTCTGAGATCTTAGCTGGCAGTGTCCTACAGTGGTTGTGAAGCAAAGCTTTTCCAGTGAGGTTGTACCTCTCCAAACATGGACTGCTCAGAGACCAGTTGTAGCCCTTTAGCAGTGGTGTCACCTGGAGTAACCAGGTTCTTTTTATGTGTTTTGGTTCTGGTTTTTTAATTTTTTTTTTTTTAAATTAGTTGGTATGACTAGCTGGAAACCCAGCCTATAAGCAATGTGTACATATCAAGACTTCTGTGAGAATCTGTGCTTGTGTTGAGTGCTAACACTGCCACAGAATCCAGAGTGAGTGGGAAGGCCAGTGTACTTTGAATACAGTCTCTCCGAGACAGCTCTTAAACCAAGATCCCTTTGGTAGCAGCTCCAAACAGACTGAAGGATTTCAGCCACCCTCTAAACTGCTGCTCTCTAAATCAGCTGTTTTTCTAGATCAACATGTGCAAAGAGCTGCTGCTGTGTCCACAGTAGCTTATCAGCTCTGTATCCACTCCCATATAGGTAGGTAGTTCAAAGTACTGTATAACAAGTTTACATAGGAAATACTACGTGAAATAATTTTTTACAGGTTAAATCAGCATACTGGAATTCAACAGACAGATTTGCTCCATTTGTGCTCTACCCTCCAAACTCTATGTATAAAATTCTAAGAATACTTTTGAGGAAGGTTTTTTAGTGAAGAGCTAAAGTGATGTAAATAATGTGATGTATATACTGACACTTTACCTTTGATGCTGTAGACGAGGGGACAATCTCTTCCCAAAGAATCCTGATAACACCATGCGGTATGATTACACTGATTACAAGGATACCTGGAAGGCTATGGAGAAGCTGGTAGAAAAAGGTCTTGTGAAAGCCATTGGGCTGTCAAACTTCAACAGTCGTCAGATTGATGATGTACTAAGTGTGGCTACTGTCAAGCCAGCTGTGCTCCAGGTAAGATGAATAAAAGAGAGGATGAATACCTTTCCTATTTGTCCATAAGAGAGAAGAATTTGCAAACCAGTGCTATGTGCTTAGCACAAGCGGTGCAGCTTCGCTAAATACACCTGCAGAGCTGGCTATATTCTTCCCTGTAGGCACACAGGGGCAGATTAATTAGCTGGGGAGAAGGCCTGTATGCCTGTTCTGTGGCTATTTCTGCCTGCTTAATTGAACAGGTCTGTGGAAGAGTTTGTCCTCCCTATGAAGAACAATTTAGTCTGTAAGGAAGGAAGATTGTGAGGGAAGAATTTGAATCCTATAGAGAGCTTTCTTGCTTGTTGGATGATCTGTTTGGTACAGAGGGAAAATTCAGCACTTTAAACTTAGGCAATCTGTCCTCCTTTTCCTGGAACCTTAGTCTACCAAACAGTTTTTTATTCTCTTGGTAGTAAGTTATCCTCATAAGGCTAGCTTACTTAACAAACCTTATCCTCATAAGGTTTTACAGAATCTGTAATGACCTCCTGTGATGTGTTTGGTTCTGCTGTGCTTTTGACTTCCTGTTTGTTTAGAGTTTTGTGTTGATATCTCTTCTCCATCTGTTCGTTGTTGGTCATTTCAATAGGTAGAATGCCATCCTTACCTAGCTCAGAATGAGCTCATAGCTCACTGCCAGAAACGAGGACTGGTTGTCACTGCCTACAGTCCCCTTGGTTCTCCAGATCGCATGTGGAAACACCCAGATGAGCCTGTGCTTCTAGAAGAACCTAAGATCAAAAAATTGGCAGAAAAATACAGCAAGTCACCTGCACAGATTATCCTCAGGTACAGAACAGTTGTGAGAGAGGGTAGCATCTGGGACCTGGCCTTAAATATTAAGAAAAAGACAAAAGGTAGAAGGAATTTCCTTAAAGTTCATGTTCTTCTGCATTGCTGAGGAGTTAAAATCACAGGGAATGCCAGAAGCAAACCCCATTTGGATACTGGGAAACAAGGTGATTGCGTGATATCCAGAATATGATGAGTACCTTGTAAAGAATTGCTTTTTTTTTTTTCTGGCTCTGTATCTGTCACTAGTACAGTCTGAGGCAGCAGCAAGTTACCCTGACAACAGAATATGTTAAAGATTTTGTGCCCAAACTACTAGAAAGGCACTTGAGGGATCTGGGTTTTCTTCTAGTTTGTCAGCGTTTGTCATGTTAGAACTTGCATGAAATGCTTAAGCACATTTTTTCCTAACTGTTTATTGAAGCACCTGAAACTTGATTGCTTGCCTAAAGGCATGAACGTCTTCCTCTCATTGATTAGTCCAATGACAACTGTTCTGCTTGAGCTTGGACACACTAGGTCCCAATACAGTACAGTGCTATGTCTACAGGGCTAAAGTCAGCCCTCTTCTGGGTATTTTTATTTCACATAGAAACATACGTGGCATCTTTTTCAGCTGAAATAAATACTGTGGTTCTTGGGCTGCATACAGAGAAAATCTCTCTCCTCCTCCTCCTAACAGATGGCAAGTGCAGCGTGAAGTGGTTGCCATTCCCAAGAGTGTCACTCCCGCTCGCATTGAGCAGAATCTTCAGGTGAGTGTAAATGGAGGGAAGGAGATTCAGCAATTCTGCCCTACTAGTTGCAGATCACAGAGCTGAGGCACTTGGCTCATATTTGTTCATCAATGTGTGCACCCACTCCACTTAAGAAGGGAGGGTAAAGATTTTGCTTAAAGCATACCAAGTTTGTTTTCCGGCTGAGGGTGTGAGTGTGCACATGTGCACATCAACAGTCTTGTTACCAAGAGGTAAAGAATAAATAACTTTATACAAGTCAAATGAAAAATCTGTACTAAAACTCATCTGAGATAGAAATATATTGAACAAGGGAGTCTTCTAATGATGTTCAGTGGTTCTTATTTATGAATAACAGTTGTTCTACCCTGCAGGTGAGGGGTGGTGACTATTTCTGCAGCAAACTGTCATTCTCATGATGCTGAAAGAACAGCATTAGTGTGATTCACTTTGGCTCTGAAGTAGAAATGGTTCACTTTAGAAGTTATTTGAAAACTTCCAATAATCTGGGGGCAAGTCTCTGAATCACCCCCTGTGATTTTTTTTTTTCTTCAGCCTTTAATCATACAGATGAGCTTGTTAAGTTTTTAAGTTAAACTCTGCAGTGACTCAAGTTTAAGATCTACATGGGAACAGGACATTTGATTGAATAGGCAGTGCTTACTTGGAGGAACTGCCCCGTTGCTTTTTATCTTTGTGGAAGAGTTCTAGGCATTATCAGTGTAGGCTGAGATTTGGCAGGTGTATGAACACCTTCAGGCTCTTAAGCCTTTATTTTGGTATTTATTATAAAACAAGTTTCATTGCAACTTTGTATTTATAAACAGAAGACAAACTAACTGCTGTCTGAAGCCAAGATTTTTAAAGATACACAAATTCTGTTGATCAGAGTTACGTGGAAATTCCCTCTGTTTGAGGCTCAGACTTACCAAAGTGCTGCAGTTTCTGAAGGTTAGGTGAAATCCTACAAGTTGCATTATTTTGTTCTTAGGTGTTTGATTTCAGCCTCACAGAAGAGGAGATGAACCACATTGGAAGCCTGAATAAAAACTGGCGTTACATTGTGCCAATGATTACGGTAAATGTCTCATGTTTCTTTTGGTTTTCTTTATGTGCATGTGGCCACAACTTGGGGCTTTTGCAGTTTTCCTTCTCCTCTCCCCATCAGAACTACTTACAAGAACACTACATCTTTTTAGGGTACCTAATATGAAAGAATTTTTCAAAATCCAGGTAAAAATGAGGTAACTTTTAGAAAATGTTTGTGTTGGCCACTTAATGGCTCTCTTGTCATTACTGACCTGTCCATGGGCCTTTAAGCTGGGGTCTCATCTTACTTCAGATCTTGCCAGACTCCTGCTCATTTGTTCTTCCCATGTACAAGCAGACTAAGGTCCATGTCATTCCTCCAGAAGTATTTGTTCCAGCTGTCCCCATTTACTTTATACCATAAACTTCCAAGATCATTGAAGACTCAGGGTGTTGTTAGTTCTCCACATCTATCACATGAGGGAATTTGTCCACTCTTCTCCACTGGATGTTCCCTCACCTTTCAGCATCTGTTGTAATGACCTTCTTTCAATGTAAAGAGTTTGTCTTAGGCTGTTCTATCTTTCTTTCCAAATCCATTAGCCACAGCATCTTTTAACATCAGTAGTTTACTGTGTTCCATGAAACTCTGTCCCTCTTGTGCTATCAGATGCCAGTCAGATTTTAGAGAAACCAATGCCTTGTAAGTGTTGAAGTCCTCTTTGTCTTTCTTTTCATATATTAGAAGACCTAACCTCCTTCCTTTCCCCTCACTGAAAAAAAATAAAATAAAATAATAAAAAAGGTTAGTTCAGTGTTTTGTCTCCTGTCTTCATAGTGTTCCTCATTTCTTACTGTCCTTCCTCTGACATTACAACAGAGCTGTTGCCATTCCCTGATGCATCATCACTGACCAACACATGACAACTGTGCTATAATGAGTCTGAAGTGATTTATCCCTTCTCTATCACAGAGTACACTGCATAGAGACAGTAGGTCTCTCTGCAAATTTGGTAGCTGTCAAATGTACCCTTGCCTCTCCAGCAGTTTGTCTACCTGTAAATTATTCTTCAGTAGCCAATGGCTCCTGACTATATGAATTCTTTGGGGAAAGCTTTTCTCTGGGATTTATCATCAAGTTATTTCGAGTACTTGAGAGTGTATCAGTGACTAGTCTGAGTTAGAAAGGAGAAGTTATGAATGTGTGGTGAATGACTGTCTCATATCAAGGGTAGATACTGGTTGCAGCTTTCACTGTTTGTCATGCTGGGGCTTATCAGAGCTTCAAGGCCATGCTTTTAACTGTATGGTTGCTTCAGTATATGTGTAAATACAAACCCCCACATCCCTGCAACCAAAATTATCTTTGTGTTTATGGATCAGGAGTCTGTACACCAAACTGCAAGCTTAGCTGCTATCTGTATGAGTGTGGTAGTGACGAGCACACCTGGTACTGACAGTGTGTTTCTTTCAAGTGTTTTGCTACTCATCCTGCAAAAAAAGTTGTTTTGTTAATGAAACCACAAAATATGCTAGCCTGGCTTGCATGAGCCTGGGATGATTCAAGTGCTTTTGTTACCTGGAGACCCGATCAGATCACAGGGATTCACAGAGGGGAGATGAAATACAGTTCAAAGCATGACCTATCCAGCTAAAAAAAGGGTGAGTGTGATGCAGCTGGGCTTCAAAGATATTGCCATATTGTCAGACAACAAGGAAGGAAGAAGCAAGGTGAGGAGAATTAAAACACGACTCTGTAGCTGTAAGATCTCTAGTGGAACCTTTTGTCTCCTGCCCATCCCCTCTGGGCTTATCAAAAATAATTTTCATCAATTGTGAATTAAAATTCCTGTCTAACCTTCCATGCCTATCTTCTCTATGAATCTAATTTATAGTGTCTGGATTTCAAAGGGTGATATGGCAGCGATATCGGAGCTCCTGTCGTAACTGACAAGACAGTTTTTCCTTGCCTTACTTCACTGATAGATAACTGCAGGTTCTTACAGTTGTGCTGCTCTTCTCCACACTGTTTTGTTTAAAGCCTGTGGAGAGGCTCTTACCTTGCAAGTAAACAATTTGCTTTATACTTCAATGGTTCATTATCTGGATAAAAGTTGGAAGATACCTTGCACCAGCCTGAAATCCAAACTTTTGGAAACACTTATTTGGGCAAGGAATACACTTGAACAAAACTTGAATGACTAGAAAGCCAAGAGAGGAGTAGTAATGGTGTGGTACACAGAATGATCTGTCTGGTTTTGATAGTTAGCTACCGTTGACTTGCAGTGTGTTTGCTGCTGATTTTACCCTCTTCCTTCTCTCAAGTTCCTGGGGTAGAATGGAATCAGCTATATGAAACATTGCTTCTGGCAGCTGCTGCCTTGGCATGCAGCAAATAAGAATGCTTACCTGAAGAGCTGCTCAGCACAGTGAAATATGCGGGGGAAGAAACTGCAGGAGGAAAATGAGGAATATGAACTCTAGGAACATGAGGAAGTTCTTGGCTCTCAATAGCATATGAGGAAACTTTAAGATAATTGTGATACTTTTGTCCACAGCTTTAAGGATTGCGTTCAGCTGACAGCTTTATTTTATTTTCATTTGAGCATCAGTCAAATGTTAAATCTTAACATCTTAGTTTTCTGCTCTGTAGTGCCCCCAAATGACTAATATCACACTTCAGTGGTCACTGTAAACAATTCATTACTAGGGATTCCAGTTGTCACTTTGAAATGCAGGTTTTGTGCTGAAAGCTAATAGAGGGAGTTGCTAGTGGATACTTGGTTTGAAAGTCCCTGTGATTCTCTCTGCCCTTGTAACATTTTGAGCAGGCTTCAATGTCACAATTATATGTATAAAAATCAACAATTTCCCTAACATAACTTCTATTCAGTCATTAGTTGCTTAGTGCAAGTTTTACCTGAATGATGCTGGTAAAGTGCAGGGAAGTATGTCTTTGGTGCTGCACCTAGATTTCCCCAAATGTTACAGAGGAGTGAGTTTTAACCTCAGCTCCTCTGAAGCTGGGGGTGTTAAAATGGACTTGGTGCAAATAGAAATGCAGTTTGTGCACCTGAATGCTTAGAGGTGGGAAGTAGGAGCCGAGGTTTCTGCATGGCCAATCTGCTTCCAGGCCAGCCGGGGCCCCACGTTCATTACCTGTGGATACTTGTTTCAGTATGCCCATGTTACAGCTGGAGAAGCTGGTTTTCCTTGGAAATGTTCTTAAACAAAAAGTACTATGAAGGACGCACTTAATGCTTCAGCATATGACCCTGAACAAGTTATTCAATGTGTTTCATCTTCTCCATCTATAAAATTGGCAGCCCAGGAGCCTCTCTATCATGGAAACACAGGCAAAGGCTCCAACTCCAGTAAAATGTTTTGAAGTGTGCATGTTACAACACTTGCTCAATAACAGCTACAAGGCAAAAGGGTTTTAAGTACTTAATCTAAGTCTTCAAACCTGAGCAGCTTGAAAGACTCTTGCTCTAGGCTACAGAAATCTACCTTTTAAAAAATAATTTAAATTATTTTTCTTTCGAGAAGTGCTAAGAGGATTCTGGAGCAGAGGGATCAGCTTGTGCTTAAGCTGAAAAAAATGCTCTGGATATGAAGATTTAGAAATCTAAACTATGCAGAATTTGAAACTGAGTAAGAATGGATTTTTATCTTTCTGACTTGAGCCTGTCTGTTTATTTCACAGGTGAATGGAAAGCTAGTAGCAAGAGATGCTGGACACCCCAATTACCCCTTCAATGACCCCTATTAACTACTAGAAAATAAGGTGTTTAGAGTAAAATGCTCTTCTGCACACCCTTCCACAGAATAATTGTTGCCACAATTTGTGAAGAAAACCTGTCCAAATAAAACCTTCCTTCCTGAGTAGGTCCACTTACAATGTCCTGCTTCTAACTGACCTCCTCCCTGGAGACGCTGTAGCTTCCGTGTCAGAGTTTTGGGATTTATTACAATGACTGCAAACTTGCTCCTGGAAGCATCAAATCTTTTGGGGATTAGTGAAAGAGTGAAGGAGTCTAATGGAGTTCCAAACATGTCATTGCCAGGCTAGGGCTGTATTTTGGGTTTCTTGCCTGTGGAACAGTTCTGAAAGCTTTAGTTATTACCATGAGGGGAGGGAAAAAAAAAAAAAGGTGAAGGCATGGAAGCATTCTAAGACTAAAGAACTGCTCAGCCATCAAGTTTTATCTACTTCAGAGTACTTGTGGGAGTTAGAGAATTCTCTATTTTCTTTTTCTGTTAACTTGCCTTTAGATTTGAGGAAAATAAATGCGTGCCCTGGAGCAGGCCTTCAGGGCAGTACTCTCTGTTGTTTGTCACATGGATGAGTTTGAGCTCTGAAAATAGCTCTGATCATTCTATCACAGTGTTTGTAGAAAAACATCCTGCTTTTCCTGTAAAGTTGACAAGTGTCTCTTTACATAAGATGTCCAGTTCAAGTTATGGAAGGTCTCAAAAGTAGTTCCTGACTATACACTAAGAGCAAAGACCTGCCAGAGGACCCCTTCCATTTTAACACCTCATTTTTGACTGCTGCCTGGGTTGATGCTTGGGAGAGGTGGTCCTGCCTCCTGTTCTACCGCTGACCTGCTGGTTAACAGCAGGCACCATTTGCCTGCCCTGTGCCTCTGTCTTCCCATTTGCCGTGTCTCTGTGTTACTCCTTGGCAGGGAATAATTTACTGAGTGCTAATGCACTGTTGAGCAGGACTGGAGCTCTAGCTCTAACAAGGGTTTTATTTTGTTTCTGTCTCTTAATGAATTGTCCAGCCATCTGAGTGCAGAGGGCATGAGCTGTTAGTGCTTGCCAGCACTCTGGTGGCCATACCTTCTGTGGCCTTAGCAAGGGTAATGCTTTATTTTCATGTTTTCTACCTGTAAAATAGGATTAGTGCTCACTTGTCTTGCTGCAGATAGGGTAGCAAGGCAGTTTCTAAAGGCCTCTGGGATATAAAACAAAGGAACTCTTTCAGATCTGTTGATGCCATTCAGAGACAGTCATAGACTTCTTATTTGCTGCAGGATAAAGAAAGCTTAACTGACTGTAAGTGGAATAACACACTTTGATATTACTATGGGAAAATTTAAAAGAATTGGGAAAATAATCCTCTGTATTTAGATAGTTCAAAAATTAAAGAATTAGATCATTTTAGTTTTGATAACTTGATTTACAGTAGGCCTGTAGTGGAACTATATATTCATCTGAAGTGTAGTGCAGTGCCTCCTCAAGCATTTCCTGCCCTGGGCCTCACAGCATGCAGCCGAGCTGGAACGAACCCGTTTATCGCTCTTTGTAATCCTGTAAAATTCAAAGAACTTCTGTTTCTCAGTGAAGTTTTCCTGCTGCATTCACCTCAGTGGAGAAGGCCGTCACAGCTCAGTTAGGATTCTTTACTAGATTGGACATTTTCTTCTAAGGGAAATGAAATCCCTCTTGGCTTTTTATTACTCTAATCAAACACAGGTGACTTTGAATTCGGTTCTTACTGCAAATCAGTAGGGAAGCAATTTTACTTTGAAGGCGCAACGTAGAATGTTAACAGCAATCATCCTGCCAAGAAAAGTCGCTTTTGTTGCATGTATTTCCACTTCCATGTTTGCATGTCTTCAATAAATGCTTTATTCAGTGTATGACTTGGAGACTTTTTTTCCACCCTGTAATGTCACAGCCCCCGTTAACTTTTTCTAGTTGCTCCTTTAATCAAGAATAAGTAAGTGGGTAGACAGAATTCCCCAGAAAAGCAGATTAATTCGGCATTTCTGTTAAACTCAGAATCCCCAGCTCTGTTACCACATAGAATAACATAGCGCAGTTGAAGCTGGGGAACTTTTATCTTGAAATAACACAGGGGGAAATGAGCCTCCGGGTCTCCACCAATGGCTTCGCTGCTGCTGTGGAAGTTTTCTGGAGGTCTCTGCTGTCACAGCTGCAGCAGCCATCTCTGCCTTGTCTGGTAGTTACATGTGCTGGGGGACAAGCAAAGCTTCAGTGTGAACTGAACCAGAGTTTAAAGGTCTCTTCCAACCCAAAGCATTCGAAGATTCTGTGGCTGCTCACCTTGAATAAGCAGAGGTTGAATGTGCCGGGATTGTGCCATTTTCCTAAAATGTAAGGTGGGGAAATGGGAGTTCTTCAAAGGACGGGCTGGTGGTGTAGAGAACCACCTTAATAAACACATGGCCTCCGCTCGGGACCAGACCGCGGCGTGCCGGGCCTGCC